TATGGTCATTGCATGAGCCGTCTGAAGGGCTTCAGTCACTGCAGGAAGACAAAGCGATTCTTAAAATGCAAAAGTCACCACATGGACCTCTTAACCCCTTTAAAAGGCAACATTGAGACTTGTTTGGTCTAGTGGTTATTGTTGAAAGGTCCACATACCCTGGCATCACCATGATTGTGCAAGTCTTTTTTGGAGTCATGGCTGTATGAGCTCTGTTGATGTAATAAGAAGGAATGAAAGGGGTTATTAAAGAGTCATGCTCGTCCCTGTGAGGCTGTGATGGGGGTTTGCATGCATTTTCTACAAAACAGAAACACACATTTAAGACTCGCAATTAAAACATCACTTTAAAAAAACTAAACAAAAAACATGATCTTGATCTAAAGCAAAGTCTGTTGCATTTTAAGTGTAGGTTTTAAAATCAGAGAAACTGGCCTACACTCTCAGAAAAAACAACAACAACAACATACAAAGCTGGCACAGGGGCTGTACCCTAAAAAAAAAAAAAAGTACATCTTTGTGCCTTATTTACCCCTAAATGGTACATTTTGAAAAGGTACCGCCCCAGTGACAGTTTGGAACCCTTTTTTTCTGAGAATGTAGATGTCAAATCTTTTAATTAAAAAATATGGTACCACATAACTCTATTAAAGTGATTTCAAGGGATAGTTCACCCAAAAATTATATTTCTGTTATTATTCACTCACCATCATGTTGTTACAAACCTTTATTATTTTAATGTTTGAAGCGGATGTCAAGCAGATTTAGAACGGAAAGATTTTAAAACAAGCGATTCATTTATAAATTTGTACGACCTTACCTTCACGCTGTGGAAATACAAACGGAAAGACAGAAGACAACGAGCAAAGCGCTGAAAAAGGCCCGTCTGTAAGATATTTCTGCTGCAGGTATGACAAAGCTTTTTTTCCCCAAACTTTTTTGTTTATTAACAGCAACTGGAAGCATCTACAAATATTAAATTAATGAAACATAATTAGTTGTTTTTTTTGAGACTGCAGAAATTTTAAGAAGAACAACATTTAGCCACTTGGCTACGAACCACTGCTGTATACTGCCATTTATTAAAATAAAATGTAATAGAAATAAATATCAGATGGGTTTGCAATGATATGATGGTAAATGAACAATGACTTTTAACAGCAACTGCAGTAGCAGTAGTTTTGGTCCCTGTGAACTTTGACCCCTATCCCATGATACTCACCCTGCTGCCAGTGTGTTTGCGGCGGTTAGACATGGGTGATGTGCTCTGGCTCCGTTTGCGTCGGTATTCAGGGCTGTAGGAGCGAGAACGGGACTTCTTCCGGTCGGAGTGAGACCGAGAGCGGCTATGGCGGCGATTTGAATGGCGTCGAGAGTGCGACCTGGAAAGGACCAAAAACAGACAGTGAGAAACGCAAAAGCAAGTTCATTTCTGTTTATCTACCGAGAAAGAAATAGCTTCATGACATTCAGCTAATGTTTGAACTGACCTGGACTTGGAGCGGGATCGGGATCTGGATTCAGAACGTTTGGATGCTCGGGAAGGGTTGGGAGAGCCAGACCTGCTCTCCGTCTTGGGCTGGACAGGACTGCCCCGCTCCGATTTGGATGGGGAGCGGGATTCCTAACGTCACAGCAATGTGTTACAACATTTACAAGACGAACGTTCACAAAGCAAGCAAACCTACACACTCACACCACATTCATAATCGCAGAAATCCAAACATTCACTTTATTACAGCTGTGGAGGAAAGTGTTAGAATTACTTAAATTATATCATGGAATAAAAAAAAATGTTAATAACATTATCGATACATTTAAAAATGCTAAAGTCATCACAGGTCCTTGTGATGCTTGTTCTTTAGCCGAATCACCATAGTAAAGCTACAAACATGCAAATGATCATCAAGAAGAGATTAGAAAGACACTTGGAACACAAATTCTGCATTTACTTAACCTACGGACTCATTCATTCTTCTGTTTTCAGTATACGCTATTCCTCTCTCTCAGGCATTTTATTCTTCGGTCTTCATTTGTTCAGTTTTCATTTTTCTCTCCTTTTCATTTCTTCACCCCAATCTGAAACCTCTTTTCTTTTTCTGCTTTAGACACATAACGCGAGCGTGCTTCTATCTGACCGATCTTCCGTTCTTTTCTCCCCTTCCCACTTAACCGTCTGCTCTGTAAACATTTTCTCTGTAAAAGCCTTCTTTTATCTTGAATATTCTTCCACATTCTTGGCCTTAACTCTTCAAATCCTTCACGACCAATAACCTTAATGAAAAAAGAACATTCAGAGCAATTAAGATCAAGGGAAATTTAGGGGGAAAAAATTAAGTGAACTATTCAAATTCCACTACTCCTTTTGAAATACAGATGTTTGTTTGGTTACATAATCATATGGTATAAGAGAGAGAGGGTAAGGAAAGATCAGAAATGTTGGAAAGAGAAACCAAAAGTACTCAGGCTGCTATTGTGTGAATGCAAACTCTTGTTTAAACACATTAAAACACTTGTAAAGTAATTTCCTAATCAATATCTGCTTCAACAACTGCAGGTAAAAAAAAAAAACTAAAAACGTTATATAAAAATACACGCTGCTGAAAATCCTTACCATATCCAACCCAGCAGCGTAACGTTAATTACATTTATTTGACATTCTACATCGTAATGGACTAATCTAAACATCTTAAAGTGACTAAATATTAAATGTTTAACGAGTTATTAAGCGTTAAGTATGTATCAGCTGATCTATCTGCTCAGTTAAATTGTAAATAAACAAAAGAAAGAGGCAGTTAACGTTAGCTGTTCACTAATCGAGCATTACCGCAAAGAGAAAGAGAGAATATTTGAGGTAAACGCCAGAACGGTTTACACAAAAACAATGCTTACCCTTCCTTCGAATTGTGGCTCCTCGACGTCACTCATTTTTAAAGTATTAATGATTGACAAAAGCGTGAAAATGAAGATGTTCTTCCTCGACGACTTCCGCTCTTAACGTAACTGCAGAAAATGGCTGACCAGCGAAGCGCGCGGTGAACTATGGGAGGAGGCTCAACTCTTCTCCTTCTTAATGTTTAACGGCGGTTGGCATCCAGCGTAATTGGTGCATTACCGCCACCATCTGCTCCGGAGTGTGGATCAGACAACAGGTTCACAGACTAATACACCCAATTCCCTCCTTCTCCCCCAAGCATACAAATCCACACACTTCATCCTTATTCTACTATATAATAATAATAATTTTAACCTTCCTCACTACTCCTATAACTCTTCATACTCTATTAAAAACCCCTGTGTCCCTTAAGAAATCCATAAGAATTCTAGTCTGTGCCCTATGTTGTGTGCTCAATAGCCCTTTTAATGTCATGTCCTGAACCTCTATCTCTCTCAACTTATTCCTCATCAACTCTCTCTGAACCTCATACCTGCTGCACCTCAAGACCACATGCTCCACTGACTCCTCTTCCTGGCAAACCTCACACAATCCAGTATCATGTTTTCCTATTAACTTGAGTGTTTTATTTAATAAACAATGTCCCAATCTTAACCTAGATATGACTGTTTCCTCTCTGCGATTTCCACTACCAATCACTGAACATTTAACATCCCTCTGGATTTGATATAAATGCCTTCCTTTCCCCTCTCTATCCCACCTCTCTTGCCACATCTGATTTATTGTCTTCCATATCACACTTTTAACCTCTGCTTTACTGATACTTACTTGCATTTCTATGTTTCCTTTTGTTAACGCCGTTTTAGCTAATTTATCTGCCATTTCATTTCCCCTTATCCCTATGTCCTGGTACCCATAAAAATTGTATCTGCCTTCCTTGGTTATATATTCTTGAGGAGGCTCAACAAATACGTCACATCCTCTTCAACGTGTGGAGATTAGACAGACAGACAGATAAACAGACAGACAGACAGATAGATAGATAGAGAAGGTTTTGTAAGTATACACTAGCAAATTATCATTACAATTTATAGATTATAAATCAACATATCCAAAATAAAAAAGTGTATTGATAAATAGATACTATAGACAGATAGACAAAGAAGGCTTTGTATTCAAGTATACACTTGCAAATTATGTGATTATAAATTATAGATAAATCAATATATCCAACATAAAAAGTGTATAGATAGATAGATGGATATATAGATAGATCATAGATTGATAGATGGATAGATAAAGAAGGTTTTGTGTTTAAGTATACACTAGCAAATTGTTTATAAATTATAGATTATAAATCAACATATCCAAAATAAAGTGTATTGATAGATAGATGAATAGATAGATAGATGATAGATGGATAGATAGAAACAGAGTGTGTACAAGTGTACACTAGCAAATTATAAGATTGTAATTTATAGATTAAAATCAACATATCCCAAATAAAAAAAAAAACACTGTATTGACATGGTACTGGCACCATGGTATTATTTGAAGCACCTTGAAGAAAACCTACTTATTTCTGAATATTATTTATGAATGAAAAATTAATGTTTTCAGCACTTGCATACACTGACACATCTGAAGTCCGGTACATGTTTTATTGTATGGATTGAGTTGTGTTTGTCTGGTACAGTTCCTCCTGAAAGCTTAATGCTGCGTTCAGTTTCGCTGGGATTCAGCTCCATGTACTAACAGCAACTGAGGTATATCCCCACCCCTTAAACAAATCAACCTGCTATAGAGACATCAATCAACTATTGACTGAGATAAATCTTTGGATCAGCTCATTTCCTCCACAGTTCAATAGCTAATGCATAGCAACGCATGACGTCTTAACAATTAAAAGGTGCTACGTGTAAACCTTCGCTCTGGAATCCATCTACGTGCACTACACACCGTTAGCTAGCTGTGGAGATAATGCTGTACATGGTGTCTTTTGCAGATACATTATGAAACACTCATCCGTATATCAAAAAAAAAAGTATTCTGATAGAAAACACATCCTATCACTCTCTCATATCTTATATTCCATATTGGTCTGCTATTTCAAAGAGTGCGGCTTATGTGACTTGTCAAGTGATTGTGACAGGAAGTGCAGAGGGTTACTACGTCTCTCTGGCCGGTGGGCAGACATATTTTGTTTGGTGGACCTGGAAACAGTGACTCTGGCAGCAAGGAGAGTGCCGGCACCAGCAGCAGGATGGGAGATGTTCTGTATGGAGGCATTCACAGCAGCCTCCACTTTCACCAAACGGCTGAGAATATCATCTAACAGCACAGCAATTGTCCTCTTCAAGTCGGCTTCAGCAGAACAAGAGATAAGGCAAGGATTAGTATTATGTTATTTCTAAACCTCTTTCTACCACACCCTCCCTGAATGCCAAGCAGGCCATTCATTCACATACACTTCACAAAAAAAAAAAAACATGAATAAAAGTGTTTATATTTTATAAAAGAATGTAAAAGAATTTAGATAACACTTTACAATAAGGTTTCATTTGTAAATATTTGACAACTACAAAGTTAACAAAATAAAACAGTATTTCTACAGCCCTCATTATTTTTTTATGTTAATTTTTAAAATCAAAAGTTGTATAAACACTGGAGTTCATTATATTTGTTCACAGCACAAATATAATGTGAACTAACAATGAGCAATATATATATATTTTTTACAACATTTGTTAGTCTTTGTTAGTGTTAGTTACTAAAAATATATATTTTTTCCTTTAATGAGCTTTTTCAAAATGTATTAATCTTTGTTAATGTTAGTTAATAAAAAACACAGTTGTTCATTACATTAACATTAAAATTGTATTTTTAATTACTAACATTAATAAATGAAAACAAGATTAATAAATGTTGTAAATGTTTTAATTGTTAGTTCACGTTAGTTAACACATTAACTACTGTTAACAAATAAGACCTTATTGTAAAGTGTTACCAGAGAGGGAAAACATAAAAGAAAATTTCAACACTTTACAATAAGGTTAACTTGTTAATATTGGTTAATGCATTAGATATCATGAACTAACAATCAACAATAAAGTTCATTTTTAATTTCACTCATGTTCATGTTAAGTTTTGCATATACTAATACATATTTAACATTTTAAGTTGTGAAAATTAACATTAGTTAATGTTTTATGAACAAAAAACATTAACATTTGTAAATGTTACAATAAAAATATTTTTCATTGTTCACGACAACTATTGCACTAACTAATGTAAATGTATTGAATCTTGTTGTAAAATGTAAAGAAATTTCTAAGCTCAGGTAACAACTTAAAACTGCACAATTTTGTTTGGTTAAAATACACATGATAACCTCTGCTATAGACATCAATTTTGGTCATTTCATCACACAAAATTATTGTTTGACTTTTGTGAAAGTCATATGGACTGTTTTTATGATACATTTGTTGTGCCTTTTAGCATTATAAAACAGCAGACAAGTTAGGAACGACGGGAGGGTGGTTAAATAATGAATAGAATAATAAATTCTTACCATATCCTGCCATGGAGGTGCCATGGGGCCCTGAAGGGTTCTGGTTCTCCTCGCTAAGCACTTTGACATAGCGATGGCTGAGCTCGAGGATCTGTTGGCGGAGCTCTGAGCTGCTCTGGCGCTGTGGTTGTGTGATGGTGTAGTGAAGCAGCAGCAGACACCAGGCCAGGCCGAAGACCACCAGAAACACACTCAGTCTGTGAGACATGCTCCTACGCAGCAGACAGCCCAGCATGGCAATGCTGCAGGTCTGATGGGACCCGGGTTAAGGGGATGGGGTGGGGACAGGTTTATAAGAGTGTGTCAGGTTCAGGGCTGGGAATAATTAAGTCGTGAAAAAGCAGAGTGGAGGTTAAAATTAGGAATGGGCAGAAGATCCTGTAATAAGGTCACTGATCTCATGCATTTGTTTAGCCGTTTTGACTAGGAAATTAACAGCATGGAAGTAATTGTCTATTGCTGAATTGGCGTCAGGTGCAAGATGTACCTGTAAAATACAACACACAAGCAGACATTTGTGAGATTAATCATATTAAATAGTTGTAGTTGCAGTTAACATGCAAAGCCTAAGATTTCAGTTTGTATGAATAAATTACATTTCCATTGTTAAGTGAATAGAAGCCGTGTCATCACTCTTTTTCTCAGTGGTCATAGTGCTATTCTCCACCCAATCACAAATCACTCAATGAGACAGTGCTTTAGATAACTTAATAATGCAGGAGGGAGAAATGACCACTTATGACCAAATATGACCAATCATCACATCCCCACAGAAACAGCAAAACAATATTAGTAAAGTTAAAATGTAGTATGCATATTGATAATATTAGTCAAGATGAAATCAATCTTGTGACTATTATCAAAGACTGACCAAAGTACAAGGGATTTACACTGTGTGCTCCACCCTGTCAAACTATTGTTTTCAGCTGAAAAGCTGTCAAAGTATAGTCACATGAAATTTAAGATGGGAATCACAGCATAAATCTGGGTTAAAGCTCTGAGGTCAGACATATCATGCCTTTGCTGAAAAGATCGTGATTATTAGTTAAACAATGTTAGAGAGTTGCCTCAGTTTAACTGTTGATGTCATCATAAAGCTGCTGTAATGATACTGTCTTGGAGAAAAGGTTAGCATTAACAGAATAACAGGACCTGATATTTGGCATGCAGTATAAGCAAATATATAAAAACCAAACAGCTTTCAGCATTCTGGCTGAACTCATATCATGCGTCTACACATGCTTGTTTTATCTTTTTTACCCGGTTCTCAAGGTCTGCAGACTGATATTAAGCAGCTCAACGAAATCGACTGTACGATTGCACACCTATCTCTTTAAGACAGGGCCGAGTTTGAAAGGTAACGTTATTGAACAGCTGGAACAGCCTGAAGAAACTGCTACGGTAACGTTGCTAATATAGAAATTACCTTAAATACTTTGGTCAAGATGACAGATTTGTAGACTCCACATTGTTGACATCTTCTTAGCACGTTTGCTATCTTAAAAAATCAGTAAGCTAATATTAAAACAATATTCAAACTGCAGCATAACTTCAAAGCAAGCGTCTCTGTATTAAGTAAGAAGCTAATTATTTTAGAGGTAACGCCTTAAAATAAATGCCAGATTATCATTCGGAGCCACCTGGTGTAGTGAAACTAGGAACTAATACAGAAAATGTTTCAGTAGTATTTCCCTGTGGTGACCACACGAGCTATTGCGTACGACGTCACGACACGCACCAGCGATGTCCGGTTGTGAATGAATTATTCTTTTGGGTCGAATCTTTTCAATGAATCAGTTCATAAATCTCTCACACTAGGCTGAGGGTGCGTCCGAAATCGCATACTGCTTAGTAGGTACTACGTTTGAATTTGAACGTACTACTCGACCGTTAAAAAAGTACGTTCTATATAGTATGAATGCGAGTAGTATGAATGGAATTCGGACGTACTACATCCGCCATGTTGATGTTGTCACGTGACATGCGTCTTCACAACAGCGCCAAAATTTAAAGAGCCCTCACTACTGCGCGACAAAAAAAACAAAAAAACAAACCCTATTAAATTCTTTCACTTAACCCAGTGTTTTTCAAAAAATAACATTAATAAATTGTGTATTCTCCCAGATGCTTTCCCTAATAAATGCTCAAGTGTCATGCTTTGTTCATCCATTTGTGCCTTTAATTATGCCCTATCTTCTTCATATTTTTTGCAGTCTAACAGTATATGCTTCACTGTCTCTTGTACATTACAATAAGTGCATTTTTTCGCCTACTATATAGTATGGAAGTATGCGATTTCGGACGCAGCTTGAGCGATTTTTTTTACGAATCAGTTCGAGCAGTTCTTGATTCGTTTAAAAAAACAGTTTTCAGTCAGAAAAAAAGAATTATTTACTGATAATGCAAATTATATTTAGGTTCCAAATGACTGTATGTTTTATGAGCATGTCATTACAATGAACACCTTTGTTAATACACTCAAAAACGCAATAGACAGTTGTATGGGCCTGCGTATTTTCTGGAATGTTTTATAGTATATACTTTTTCCCCAAAATATATTAATTATGACAGTGCGACCGAGCAAACTACGCCATAACATAAGAATCACTGAATCATTTTTGAAAAGAACTGTTTGAAGGAAACGATTCTCTGATATGAGTCTGACTCACGTCACTCACGTAAAAGTCCAAAGGCAGCATGGGAAATGTAGTTCACAGGTACAAACGTAGTCGAGATACATTAAAATTGTTGTGAGTGTGTATTAGATATTACTGATTGGATTTTTACATTTAGATATTTTTGAACTCTTTTTTTCTTTTACCTAATTTAGACTATTTAGGGAAAGTTGATCACTGTTGTTTCGTCGTTGCCTAGAAACACAGACGCCAAGAACAACCTTCATTACAAACAAGCGTTGCCGCTTGAGTACTTGTTTATATTAACAGACAAAACTACGAAAAAAAGAGTCACAATCACAGTGGAATGGAAAAGATATTTGTCGACAAACACGCAACCAATGCATTGGAGGTCTATTTAGAATATAGAAGGTGGGTTTGTTTGGGGAAATCGGTGTAACTAATGTCTATTCACGTGGTCAATGCAAAAAAAAAATATTTCTTTATTTTTTTTTTGTACATCCCTTTGTAGCTGAAGCTTGGCAGGTTTGAAAACGTGTAATTCTCTATCACTGAATATCCTGTTTAGCAAAGGATTGTTGGGGAAGATGATGGAGGGAGGCTGTTTTCAGAGGAAGAGTACAAGAAATACAAAGAGACAGTGGTGCCAAGAAGAATACAGAACCGCCTTTATGTCAGTTTTGGCGTCCTGGGACAGATAGACTGCAAACTCATTGGACCAGAGACACCTTGCTTCTGTACACACAGGTATGGATCACCAGTAATATACATTATTGATGTATGCACATGTACACAAACGGATTCTTCAAGAATTCTATTCATTCTCAGGTATAAACAACATTGCACAGACTTTGAGGTGTTGCCAGAGGAAAGGCCTATACTCTTGACCTGTAGGGTCAAAGGTTGTCAGTGTGTATCTTATAAATACATTCATATCAATGGTTCTAAGTCAGTACGCTGCCAATGCAAACACACAACCACTGAGCACAGTGAAACTATAGGGCACCAGTGCAAGAAATGTGAGTTTTGCACCATTGCATCCCCTATTATTAATTGAAAGCTTACATAATTCATCATGTTACACATAAGCATTTAATAAAACATAAAAACGGATCTTAAAATAAACCTGTTTACTTCCAGGCACTCACTGCACTGGCTATCGAAGTCCATTTACCTGCGGATGTGGTCAGCCTGGATATGCCCATGTGATGCTGGTTGAAACCAGGGAAGAGCGCATGGCACGGGGTCATCCGGTGGGCAGAGCTGCTCCTTATGCGGCTATGGGAGGCTTAACTGGGTTCAGCTCACTGGAGGACGGCTACCTGAGACTGGATCCAAGTGGCATAGGCAATACATGTGAACAGCACACACAATAGGCTACGTGTCTCCTAACAGTTGTGCCACAACAAACATAATGTTAGCATTAGGTTAGCACACACCGTTAGAGTCAACATTACCATTATTTAAGTATATATTACATTTTAATGCTTTCTGTTTAGCCTGAGAGCTAATTCTTAATATTTGTGTTTTGCTGTTTTGTCATAAATTGTGAAAATTAATCGCAGCAAACATTTTTTTATCAAGATTTTTATCAAGAAATCATATTTGTTTTTTAAATATTCCACAATGTTTTTTTGTTGTTTTTCATTTAGTATTAAGAATTTAGTTGAGTTAATTATCAATGCTCCATAATTTAATTTTTTAATAAATACATTTAATAAATAACTGTAATAATTGAATACATTTAATAATATTTTTATTTAGTTTTTCATTTAGTATTAAGAATTTAGTTGAGTTAATTGTCAATGCTTCATGCTACATACAATTTTCAAAAAAAAAAAATCTAAACAAAAATTTATAAAAATACTCATGTGATTCAAGTATCTGACCGATACTTTTGGCTCAAAATGTATATGAATATAAAAGGAATTTGTATATTAGGTCTAACTTTTTACCATTTCTATTTTTAATTCTCTTTTTTGAATTTCGCTTGCAGTGTAAAAAATATTTATGTTTAAATTGATTTAAATTTGTAAAATTAATGATATAGTTTCCACTTTTGACCAGCAGAGGTCAGTAGTGATACACATGCCTCTGCTTCACTTCACCAGCATTGACTTGATTGTGTGAGAGAGATGTGTCGTTGTTTTCAATGAATTGGCTTTAAGTTGCTCTTCTCTACTTGTTAATGTTCAGAACAATAATAGCAATTAATGGATGTAATTAAAAGAATGTTTGTGCTCTATCTATGAGACACAGAGTGCTGCGTGCTCTGTGAACTCCGCAGGCTCTGTGGCTCGCATTCAATCGCTTTCTGTTCAAGAAGCAGAAAGAAAGAAGAAACAATTTCACCACTAATCATTGGTACAGTTCGGTACCAATGGTTTGCTGTATGTGCTGGGCACATGTGTGTGTGTGTGTGTGTGTGTGTGTGTGTGTTTTGAATCTCGGAATATGTTTGAATATGCTGCTCTGTTTTTGTATATGTGAATGTTTCATGACTCATCCTAAGCTCCTCAAGATTCCATTAGATTGGATTCGTTACGACTTCCTCTTTATATGTTCATACACTCTTCCTCTGTTCTGATATGCATCTCCACTCAATTGCTCTTGAGAACATCTGTCTGTCTCATGAAATGCGCAATTGCGAGTGTGTGTGACCTGCGAGACTTCCCTTTGGTGACGTCGGTGATGAAAAAGAGACCAAACACAGACTCTTCTCATTACCATACTTGAAATAAAACACGCAGCTTTACGTTATAAGCGGGGAGGCGTTTGCTCATCTCAGCACATAGACTCACGGACACACAAACCGAGCCAATTCAGAGAGAAATGTAATGCACGGAAATTAATTGTGGCACCCCTAGTGGTGACCGGGAGTTTCAGTTCCTCACACAAATGGCTTCAGAAAGTGTATTGGCTACGTTTATAATGGTTTTATGATGAATTGTGTTCTTTCAGGACCTTGACAGTCTCTGGTCACTATTTCACTGTGGAAGAGAGCGGTGTGAACATTTTTCAAAATATCCCCATTTGTGTTTTATGGAAGAAAGGAAGGCATACTCGACAGGAATGACATGAGGGTAAGAATGTCAGGGATCTGGAAGGAGGACCCAATTGCAGTGTGAGTAACAAGGGTTTATTGACAAAACAGATCAATACAAAAGGGTAGTGAGGTGCACAGGTGATACCACAACAGGAACACAATAAACAGAGATAGCTAGGGAAGGCCACTGGAACAGCCTCAGACATCAACTGGCAGAATACTATAGCAGCAGAGGCGGCGGCAAGACCAGGCCGGTGGAGAGACCAGAGCATGGCACCAGAGAGCGGAGCTCAGATACTTATGGACCATAAACTCTGAAGCACCCCAGATGCCAGGCAAGGGAACCAGTGGACAGGAACAGGTCAGGACAGGAACTCTAACACCACAACAAGACAAAACATAGCTCCACAGGAACACAAATTACTCCAAGACAGGCAAGAGAATAAACAAAAAAAGCACTTTAATGATATTGGAAACACTTTATTTTAAGGACCAATTCTCACTATTAACTAGTTGCTTATTACCATGCATATTACTAGCATATTGGCTGTTTATTAGTACTTATAAAACACATATTAATGCCTTATTCTGCATGTCCATATTTTAGAACCCTTAATCCCATACATAAATTTAACAACTATCTTAATAACAATTAATATGCAGCAAATTAGGAGTTTATTGAGGCAAAAGTCGTAGTTGATAGTTAGTTAACACAGTGAGAATTGGTCTCCAAACTAAAGTGTGACCATGATATTAATAGTAATTAGATTTTGATTTAGAACCCTTGAATATGCTTAAATTGTTCTTTGTTTTGGGGTTTAATTTCCTGCAACTTTTTATTACAGAACCTTAAAATCACCCTAATCTGGTTCATTTAGGACCATTTGTCATTGGAGACTTAAGTTTAAATTAATAAAAGTATAGTGAAGTCTAATTTTATATTTAAATTGATAAAAGAAAATGTATTATTAAAAAATCGAATTGAAAGTTCAAATATCTATTTTTCAATCAAATGAACTCAAAACAAGTGATTTGTTGGTGGTAGATTGCTTAATTAAATACACCGATGCACACAAACACACTCGTAAACACACATACATGCAGCGTTCCACAATAATGAAACTCTTGCTTTGTCCTGCTTCCTTCTATTTGCTTCTTTAATTTAAAAAAAAGAATGAAAGAAGGAATTGAAAAGGCTCTTTGAACTCATAAAAAATGCATCACCAGAAAAATGAGAAGCAACCGTTTATTAACAAATTATAAAATTACCATCCGACGGAGGTTTTGAATGACGACGTAGAGGAAAATTAGGACAGGATAACATATAAAGGAGCTGGTGTAAATATTTAATTAATCTGATTAATCTGATTAGATTCAGCAGATCTGCGGCACTAAAGTGATTCACATTGAAATCAGATTAATTCCCTTCCTTGCTGTGATACAGTGCATTAATTTTAATTCTGAGCTGAAATGAGCAAGTAATCGCAGTAGTGATTAAGACAACCATACGCTATTGTGCCATTTTTTTGAATAACCCAGGTTTGTCAGATATCACAAACTGATGTGATTCAGATTATTGATGTGGCTTTATTTGTCTCTGACACGCAGGTGTCCACGGGAAGTTTTAAACATGCAAACAATCTACAAACACACACCTGTGTCCAAAGAGAACACCGGAGTAAGCTAGCAGAAGGGACGATGTTTGACCTGAAAGGTGACACATCGGTTTAGTGTTAGTGTTTGATGATGGTGCATTTGAGTGTGTGTGTGTGTGTTGATATCAACCCTGATGCCTAACTTCACAGATGCTTTGGTGTCATAATGCCTTCAATAAGCCATCGCTGTATTAATTATGACCTTACTGACCTTAAAGACATGACACAATGAAATCACTTCATAAATTCTCAGACAGTGGAAACTATTATAAAAATGCAAGAAAAGAAAGAAAAGTTCAAAATATACCTTCTTACAAGTCTAATCTCCTTGCCATGGAAACCTTTCTGAGGTCTTTAGAGCAACTGATGTACTGCTGTCGCAGTCATTATGGTGCTGTGATTGACAGGCGTTTGGGGAGGAACATAAGATATTCACCCCTATGTTAGGTTATAGCTCAGATTCGTCACGCGAAGCAGCTGCATGTCAATCAATGATATATTTCAAAAAGTATGCTACTGTATTAGTTTTACTCATTCTGCAAACTTGCTTTGGGAAGTCAGGAACTTCTAATATAAATAGTCTGTTTATATTACACTGAATTGCATTGAAGCCTCGTAAAATGTTGCCTCTTCTCTGTTTCTCATAAGCCTGACAGATTGCCGCAAAATTGTCAGAGTCTATGTTGTGTGATGTTGAAAAGAACAACATCAATTACCTTGAATCAAAGCAGTGAGACCTAAAAGTGCGTCAAGACAATTGCTTTTTCAATTTCTTTGTTAAAAAGCTTGAAAATCGACGCTGGAACTGCGTTGTGGCCGTGACTCGAGGTGCTTCTGTTGCTCTCCAATCCGTTATTCAGTGATGCTTTGAAGGATTGAAAAAGGAGGAGGAGAAGTGAGGGAGCAGAGATGAAGACTGTGGGATTGGTGGTGTTATTTATTCAAGCCGAGCCCATGAGTGTGAAGGGGGAGACAAAAGCGAGTGTGGAATCACGCAGCTGTGCAAAATCAATAAGGGTTTGCTTGACAGTAATAAAAGATGATCTCTGTCGTTTGTGCATCAAAACACTCTGATTTGCCCTCATACTGCATCCACACTCTCTTAAATACCCTCAGACACATGACTGCACTTTGAAGACCAACTGCCAAGGACAGATTATGATCCTGCGAGGCCCCCGGGGCCCAAAGGCATCCTCTGGTCACAGTTGTGAAATGTATTTGTATTAATAAATTAATAAGTTGTATAAATAAGCATAATTCTTGAAGAATCTGCAATATTTTCAGACTTTTATGAAAAAAAAGAGAGAGAAAAAAAAAAATAAAATAATAATAATAAATATAATAAATAATAAAATAAAAAAAAGTTTAATCAATTAAAATAATTATAATTGTTTCTTATATTTTGTACTTGCTTCAATAAGCTGCATATCAGATGTTTGCATATATTCCACAAGACAAAATAATAACTTATTTTACACAAATTATCCTGTTTAAAAATAATAAGGCAGACATTCTAGACTGTTATCAACAGACTACGCTGTTTTCAAAGCTTGCAGCAATATTTTGTGATTTTTTGTTTTGTTTTTGGTATTTCTTGCAACAGATATTTACGTATATTCTACAAGACAAAATAACCCATTTTACACAAAAGTAAGGATCTGCAAACATTTGAAAAGTATAATGTATAAATTCAGTAATTTGTTTCGTAAAATATTTGTGCTGCTATATCTGCTATGTCAAATAGCTTCATAAATTCAGCACTTTAAAAAAC